CTCTTACAAAGTCAGTCCATAGTGCCAGAGTAAAGGACTGGTCTGATTAGAGATTTGGAATTTAATACTTTGCATTTACTGGTATATTCTGGCTTGTAGCGTTGTTTTCACTAGGCAGTCCCACTGCTGCCTCATTAGTTCACAGCAAGCATTTGCTCAGTTAAGTCACAGATTCTTTCATGAAGAAGCTTTGTTAATTTTACATCTGACTTTATAGAATTAGTGCGGGACTTTATTTACATCCTTGCTAAATTCAAACTTGTTTGGAACCCTAGGACTTTGTATACTAGGGGACTATTATTCTCTTTTTGACTTCTGATTTTGGCATGCAATGTAATTGCTATGCTGCTTAACTTCATGTCATTCAGATATTTAACGTGCTTGTACATTTTGACTTGTTATGTGGAAAATAAAAAGAGATTATTTAATCTAGAGGGTCTCAGTTGTATTAGTTTTAAATCTACAGTGATAGGTGGTCGGTCTCCTAAAATGGTAATTAAAAATTTACTCCGTGTCCACTGTAACTAGTTGCGTTTTAGTAATGTTACAATAAGGAACTTGGGAAGATTTCACTGAGGAACTGATGCTACAGTTCAGATCTGAAAGTTGAATACATTTAAGTAGGCTGGGGTGGGAGGATAGGCAAGATATTCAATTATAGGATACATTAATGATTTTGATTTTATATAAATTACAGTAGAAAGTTTAAGATTTTTAAAGCAAAGGATGACAAAATCATACCTGTATTTGATCTAAAGCTTTGAAAATATTCTGTCTGCATTGTTTAGAATTGAATGAAGGTGGTGAAGGGGATTTATTGAGGCTAGATAACACTAGGGTGATGGTGGTGGCAGTAGAAATGAAAAAAAAAATGCATAGATTGGAGGGCTGTTGCAAGGCTAAATCCACAGAGTCTGAGGAAGAAGGACAGGGAAGAAAATTGAGAAGATGCCACAGATTGCTCCTAATTCAACTAGATGGCTGGTAGTAGTATTCTCAAAGATGGGTCACTCTGGAAGAAAAACTGCTTTGCTTAGGAGGAGGTACATGCTATGGATTTGTTTCAGACATGTTGACTTTGAGACATTTTTAAGATGATGTATTTCATGGCTGCATAATATTCCATTGTATATAAATAACACATCTTCTTTATCCATTCATCTGTTGATGGACATCTTGGCTCTTTCCATAATTTGGCTATTGTGGGCATTGTGCAGCCATCAAAAGGAATGAAATCTTGTCATTTGCAATGACGTGGATGGAACTGGAGAGTATTATGCTGAGCGAAATAAGTCAGTCAGAGAAAGACATGTATCATATGACCTCACTGATATGAGGAATTCTTAATCTCAGGAAACAAACTGAGGGTAGCTGGAGTGGTGGGGCGTGGGAGGGATGGGGTGGCTGTGTGATAGACATTGGGGAGGGTATGTGCTATTGTGAGTGCTGTGAATTGTGCAAGACTGTTGAATCACAGATATGTACCTCTGAAACAAATAATGCAATATATGTTAAGAAAAAAAAAAAGAAGAAGAAGAAGAAGATAGCAGGAGGGGAAGAAGGAAGCGGGGGAAATCGGAGGGGGAGATGAACCATGAGAGACTATGGACTCTGAGAAACAAACTGAGGGTTCTAGAGGGGAGGGGGATGGGGAGATGGGTTAGCCTGGTGATGGGTACTAAAGAGGGCACGTACTGTGTGGAGCACTGGGTGTTATATGCAAACAATGAAGCATGGAACACTACATCAAAAACTAATGATGTAATGTATGGTGATTAACATAACAATAATTTAAAAAAAGATGATGTATTTCAAGAGCCATAAAAAGACATATACCCTTTGACCAAGAAATCCCAAGTCTCTGGGAATGTAGCCTAAAAAAATAGTGTGAAATATGGGAAAAGTTATGTCTGAAAATGTCCATTGCAGTGTTTTTTATTAATAGGAAAAATTGGAAGTAATATTAGTGCTCAAAAATAGAGGAATAATTTAATAAACCTTTGTCGACTTACTAAATGAAATATTATTTAGCAAATTACATGACTAAATAATAAACTAAAGAGTTTTAAAAACTCTTTAGGTACATGGAAAGAATTATATAATACTAAATTATAAAAATAGTTAACACACTTTGTATATAACAAAACAGTAAAAACAAATGAATATGAAATAAACTGCAAAAATGTAAGAAATTGCTTAGTAGGATATTAAAGTTACAGGTGCTCAATAGGATCTTAAAATTACAGGTGTATATATTTCTTTCCTTTATTTAAGTAACATGCTTAAATTGTTCTTGATTTTTTAAAAAGTATTGCAAATTTAAGGGCAAGTCTTGTTTCTCAAGATTATAGTTTGTTTTTAATTAAGTCTTTTTCCTGAGGTTAGAAATAGTTAAAACTTGTAACTTTTCCCCAAGATTTGTGAAATAGTATTAAACAACTCTTATTATTTCTATTTTATGCCTTTAGGATAGAGGCTGATCTTTATAGTCAATCATAGTTGTAGGAATTTTCATGTTAAGAAAAAGAAACTTAGCTAATATTAGTTACATTTAAATTAATTCTCTCTGTGTTTTTGTATGGTATGTACAGTGTGGTAGATATGTAATTTTCATGAACTAAAAATCTGAGTTCTAGGAGTACTGCATAAATTTAATGGCAATTAATTGCATTATTTAGTTCTAAGAGCCAAGAGAGTTCTATTTTCAAATTTAGACAATTTGTATTTTTAAATTGTAAAGATTCTGTCTTCATGAATAAGAAATGAACTATATCCTTGTGAAACTGTTTAGTCATTTTATTATACTAAATGAGACTTGAAATTTTAATTTCATTTTGTGTTTTTAAAGTCACTAAATATTAACTAATTTTCATTGCCCTATTTTACCAATAAGTTTGTTAGCATCAGCAACATTGCTTCACTTTGTCAATTAGCATAAATTATATATCACTATGGACCAGCGGACTTTATTTAAAAATTTTCACTTTGGGGGCGCCTGGGTGGCTCAGTCGTTAAGCGTCTGCCTTCAGCTCAGGTCATGATCCCAGGGTCCTGGGATCAAGTCCCACATTGGGCTCCCTGCTCGGCGGGAAGCCTGCTTCTCCCTCTCCCACTCCCCCTGCTTGTGTTCCCTCTCTCGCGTTGTCTCTCTCTGTCAAATAAATAAATAAAATCTTTAAAAAAAAAAAATTTTCACTTTGGGTGCCTGAGTTGCTCAGTCGGTTAAGCATCTGCCTTCAGCTCAGGTCATGATCCCAGAGTCCTGTGGACTCCCTGTTCAGCTGGGAGTCTGCTTCTCCCTCTCCCTCTCCCTCTACCCCTCCCCCTGCTCATGCTTTCTTTCTCTCTCTCTCTCTCTCACTCTCTCTCTCAAAAAAATATTTGAAATCTTTAAAAAAATTAAGAAATAAATAAAAATTATTACTTTGGAAAATGGTTTATTTTCTATTTTTTAGAACAGATATTTTTAATCTATTATACAATCATAATAAAGTTTTTCCTACTCCAGAGACAGTATTTATTCAAAAATCTTGTGTAAGGAGAGAATATATTTAAGAGTAAAGTCATGAAGTTTTAAGTTATATATAAGCAACTGATATGACATAACTAAAGGCATTGACTGAGAACTGGCAACTTGTTTTGAGCAAGAAACTTTTGATAACTTGTTGCAAAATATAGTATAGTAAATTTAATTCCTAAGAAATGTTTTCCATATTTTAGGATAAAAATTCTTTTCAACTGACTTTGATACATTTTTATATAATTTACTAAAGAAAACATGTCAAATCTAAAAAATGTATACAAATGCTTAATTAGCTTTATTCAGAGGGGAGTTTTTTAAAGTCACTTTCTAATGGTACCTAGATAATGTTATAAATCAAAAGTGCCATTAAAAAGTACTTATGTGGATTCCTCAAAGTAACTGATCTTGAAGTTGTTTAAAAAGGCACAGGTTTCCAAAAACAGCAATTCTGATGCAATCTCTAGATCCTGTGATTTTGAAGCCATGAGAGACAATGGTTGGTTGGTTCATATATTATTCGATATACTCTGAATATTTGATGGACTGTGGGCCAAAGCTGGTGCTCTAGTTACATATGTATCTAACATCCAGCTGCCTGATAATTTCCGGGTTTGGATTATTGTGATATACTACTACTCTAGCTGATTCTGAAGCTGCTAATGTTCCAAGACAATTGTTGAAGAAGAAAGAGGAGGAGGAGGAAGAGGAGGAAGAGGAGGAAGATAATGACAATAGTAATGAAGATACAATGAAATACAGCTACTCACTCTTCACACTGCATTCTGTAATTATTGGTGGTGATCAAAATTATGAAAACCATGTTAATGAGTAAAATATTGTATGCACGTTTTGGAATTTCCTTCCCATTAATTTAAAACATCACTTGTTGATTGGTTAAATCCAGAAATTGGAGTTGACTCTCCCTCCCAAAAAAAGGAAGTAAATTTCCAGTAAAATTCAAAATATAAGTTAACTATATTAATGATGACCTCCCAAACAAGAAAAGTAATCTAACCATAATATATTTAAATTATTAGATTTAATAATATATATTAAATTCCATTGCCATTATTCACACAAAATACCAGTTTCTGTAATGTACCATGTATACTGACACAAATATTGACCTAAAAGTTGAAAATTCAATTAAAAAAGCCTATAATATTTGACAGTTTCTAAAACAAATACAGATGGATTTACATAATGATTTTGGCTCTCTTCGCACTACATGACTTCGTTTTAATATGTCTACTAATTTTGTAAAGTTGAGTTTCAGATTTTCACAAATCTCTGCTCTATATATTTTACAAAGTCAAGATAAGTTCAATATATTTCAAATTATTTTAAACATTCAATTTATTTTAAATGTTATGTCATCTATATTTCATATATTTTATCAGCACATGACAAACATGCACATGGCACTGCATTCACCAATGACAACTTGTAAATTAAAAAATATTTTACATGTACTTACTTGAAATAAAAGAATATGCCAAGCGAGATAAGCAGTGAAGCAATAGATAATCCATGTCCAATTATAGTCAGGTAGAACAAATTCAGTGCAGTCTACAATTTGTGTGGATAAAAAAACAAGTAAGGCTCATATCATTAATATAATCCTCCATGTGTATAAGCTCAAATCAATAGAATAAATTGTATTTTTAAGAATATGTGCTCTGATAGCCTTACCATTTAGCTTGCATTAGATATTTGTTACATCTGGAATGAAGAGTATATGCAAATTTATAAAGTGACATCAAAATTTATAAATTATATGCCCTTTTTATTAAGAAATTAGAAGTCAGGGCGCCTGGGTGGCTCCGTTGGTTAAGCAGCTGCCTTCGGCTCAGGTCATGATCCTGGAGTCCAGGGATCAAGTCCTGCATCAGGCTCCCTGCAGAGCAGGGAGCCTGCTTCTCCCTCTGACCCTCCCACCTCTCATGTGCTCTCTCACTCTCTCTCATTCTCTCTCTCAAATAAATAAATAAAATCTTAAAAAAAAAAAGAAATTAGAAGTCATATGATAGGAAGGAATAATTTTATTGATCTAGGTTGTGTAATATATGAAATTAGCATTTTATATTTTGAAAGATATTGACAATTTTCACTCTATCACTTTGTGCACATTAAATCAAATGCTATGTAATTATTTTTGTGTGTTTTCTTTAGGTAAGGCTTTCTTTCCTACTGGGTTTTTCTTTTTCCTTTGACAATTTGAAACTCTAAGACAAATCTCAATATAGTAATTATAGGAGCCTCTGATCTGCTTTGATTTTTTTATTTTTCTGTATTCCATCTATTTGTAATTTACCATTTTATTGTGTATTTTTATAATTCTCTTTAAACCCTTCTCTGAATAAGCAAAGAATACATGATTTATAATTATAATGATAGCTGACAGTTATCAAGTGCTTATTTTATGCCTATAGTTTTCTAAGGTTTTTTCTTGTATTAAGTCAATCCTTATGAAAACCTTGAGGGTGGGTTTATTGTTATCTTCATTTTATACAGAGAGGGGTTATAGCTTGCCTGAGGGCATCTAGCTGGTAAAGAGCAGGAAGTGGAAGTCAGATTTCAGGACTCAGTTTCAATCACTGACAAACTTCCTCTGTGTTCCCCCATGTGCAAATATATGCAGGCACTTTCTATAAAAGCTTAATTGTTGTGACAAACTGTGACTAACCTTGACTTTAATGTATGGTGCTAAAAGTGGGAATGTGAGCGAGAATAACCTAGCATCCAGTCGGAAGGACAGCCTTCTGTTGAGGGACAGAGAGAGCTGTTTAAACCCTGCTGGGCTTCCCTTGTTTACTTGAGCACAATTCCTGAACTTATTTCTCAAAATTCCAGTACCAATGAAATGTTCCCTTTTCTTATACTTTTAAAGTATGTTTTTCTTTGGGAAATCTGAAACTCCATTACTGACACATTGACTTGTAAATACAGTATTATCTAACAGGATTGCTTCCTCAACGTCATGACAGAATGAATGATTATTTCCACAAAGATTTTTCTCCGTTGTTTTTCTCAAAGTATATTATGAAAAGACTTTACAATAGAATAGAACACAAAGCAAATTTTCTCCAATACTGTATTAGCAACTGACTTTTTAAACAGTATCAATTACATTTCCGTTTATATGTATTCCATACCTTCACTTTCTCCTGTGTGTTAACATTACACTGGGTATAATTTGTCCATGTTCGGTTGCTTTCTGGATGTCTAAACCAGTTTCCATCTTGGTCACAGATCTTTGTAACTTTTTCTTTAAAATTAAAAAGGAAAAGGAAAGAAGAAAATGGTAATTTAGTTAACTTAGGGTTTATTTAATATCAAGCAGATCTGTATATACATTTCTGCTTTTACCTGATGGGTCGAAGTCCTGAAAGTAATCAGGGCAATGCTGTATTGACTCGGTTCCGGCGGCAACATCATTCCAGCATAACCACCCATCCCAGGTTCTGTTGCAGTAAATGCCTGAAGGGGAGAGTAAAGATCAGTGATTACTAGTCCCTCTAGTTATACCTGAAGATGTAAAGTCTTACTGGTGGGTTCATACTGACGTGAAATACAGACCACCGACTGAAAATGAAGACATCTTATAAAAGCTATAGCTATTACTTAAATTTTCACCAAGTAATTATTGGAATAACTGCAAAATTCAATTTAGAAATATCTATAAGAGTATATTTAAAAGTTTAACTTTAATTTCAATTCTCAAAGGTAGCCATTCATTCAATAAATTAAATGGTCTTTGCTGGTTGTCCTTAACCATAAAGGTGGTAGTTACTTAGTGTCCCTATGCTTAAAATTTTAAAAAAATATGGGAATATAGAAAATGTGTTATCTTAGAAATTGTGTTCTTAGGGCAAGGTGTTAGTATTTTCTGGAAAAAAAATGGACACTCCAACATTTCCCATTTCACTACATTGACCCTAACAGATATTTAAACCCCTCTACCAAATTCTAGCTCTTACTTGCCTTCCTTTACTTTTCAAATGAAGTAGAGTGTTTAACATTCTCACAGTTTCCTTTAACCAACCTGAAGAGAGAGTACCTCTTACATGAAAAAATATGTTTTTTTAAAGGCATAGAGAAATAAAATGACCAGTGTTCCAATGTTGTAACAGTCTATAATCAAAGAAAATAATTTTCCACCTTGTCAGGCAAGCACTCATAGATAGAAGCCCGACTGTTGTATGAGATGTTTATTATTTATAACAGATTTGTGCCACAATCTCAGAATCAATCTAACCTTCACAGGAGTAGGAAAATTCTGGCCTGAAAGTATAAATAATTCTCATTAAAAAAAGAACTCATATCATCTCAGTTTTTTCCTCCTGTGATTTTTCAAACACTTATTTAAATAGTCTGCATTCATATATTACTAAATAAAATGTATTTTGTGGCCTATCAGAGAAAGCATCTCAAACAAGTCCTTATCACTGGTCCAAAAGATTCTATCTAATTAATGACAACACTGGCAGTATGATAGATTAGAAGGTCAGAAACTTTCAACTGTGTTATATGGCATTTGAGCGAGACAGGAATAGGTATTCCATTAAAGAGTTTCTATGGTCAAAAGATTTGTGGGGTGCCTGGGTGGCTCAGTCGGTTAAGCGTCTGCCTTCAGCTCAGGTCATTATCCCAGGGTCCTGGGATCGAGCTCCGCGTCGGGCTCCCTGCTCAGCGGGAAGCCTGCTTCTCCCTCTCCCACTCCCCCTGCTTGTGTTCCCTTTCTCGCTGTGTCTCTCTGTCAAATAAATAAATAAAATCTTAAAAAAAAAAATGGGGGAAGCACAAAGTTAAAATAACGACAGTTCTTTATTGCAAGACTTTCTAGAGTATTTAAATTACAAAGTCTGTTATGAAGCTTCAACATGAAGATTGATTATGCAGTGATTCTAAAATTATTTTATCACAAAATTATCTCATAAAGATATTCCTGTTGTTTGACAATTAGATTTGAAGCCTATTTTTACATATATCTACATGATCTGGAAGGGGTTAATTCAATCATTTTAAGCTCATAACACTTAGATTTTAATGGAATAAAGTGAGAAGCCAGATGGATTAACACAGAATTTGTATACAATTCATGTACTTGATAATTTAGACCCTATTGACATAATATCAGATAGTTTGTCATTGTCTGTATATTTCAAAGAGATTTTTAACTGAATAAATTCCTCATAATAAAAATGTTTGGATAGATACATCTAAATACTTCTCAAAAGATAAGCAAATTATATTGTTCAGTAGATTCTTCCTTAAGAAGAATTGTTCATTAAGATTCTAAAAGTTGCCCAGCGTGGGAAGATCACTTTTTTCCTCACAAGCAAGTTCATTTTGTCCGTTATAAATATTAATAATACCCTACTTTTAGCATTTTGTTTATATAAGAAACATTATATATTATACCATCCAATATTTTTCCAAAAAATTTAGGATCTTTCTTTCCACTGATAATTTAGAAATATCAAAAGTCTTTACATTTTGCTATGTTTTGTTGTGAGTTTTGCATTTTCTATTTTGAAGATATACCCTGTCTTTAGTGTTGCCAGATAAAATACAGGGCCTGGTTTTGGTTTTGATTTGTGATTTTGTTTTTGTTAAATCTGGCAACTCTAATTGTGCTACTCCTCTGTGTATCTTCAGAATCAAGGCAGACATCTGGCATTTAGCAGTCCCTCAGTAATGTTACGAAAATATCTAAAGAATATCTTAATAGAAACAGAAGCACTTAGACTTCATTAGCATTGCTACTAAATGTATTATGCAAAGCACATTATACAAAAAAATTATAATTTTATTGTGCAAACTCCTATCAAGCAGCTTGTGAAAAAAAGAAATACAAATTACATAAACTGAAGATCAACAGCCACCAATTTAATTCAAGACATACATTTGATATTTTAAATATCTTTGTACCATAAAAAATGTTACTAAAAATATTCCTGTTACACATACTTTTATTAGAATTTTTTAAAAGAAGCAAGATAAGTTATGTCATAAAATGCTCAAATATAATTAAGAATGCACACATGTCAGGAAAGCTAACAACTAACCCATTTTTAGTAATGGACCTAAGGAACCCATAAATGATGTAGTGGAGTAGTTTTCTTTTAAAAATATATCAAATGCATTTAAAATTAAAAAGTCATGTTTACCTTCTGTTTGTTGAATAGGGTCTTGCATAATTTTTTGGTAACATTCATATTGAGCCGTCATAATTTTATTTCTAGTATAGACACCCAACTGACTTAAGCCTTCAATGTTCTCTTCTGATTCTGCTATGTCAAGAATCTAAGGGATTAAAAAAAAAACAAACTTCAGAATTGTGAGAATGTCTGTCAGAGGCAGTCTGTCCCAGTGGGAAACAGTCACTGCAATGATATGCTACATGGTCATCTGGCTCGGGGGGGGGGGAAATCCCTGATCTGAAGTGTTTGCCAATTTTCATAGTTTAAATATCCCCACCATGTTTAATTTCAACTGCCCCCAAACAGCTGCCAATGGCAGCTCTGGGAAGTGTAGTCTATAGACAGTTCTCAGAAGCCTGTGGGAGCTGGCTCTAGGACATGCGTTCTGGAATACAAACAGGCAAGATATTTAATCCTCTGTTTCTTATTGTAAAATAGTATCAAGATAACAGAGGGGAAGTATCTGACACATGGCAAATATTCAAAATTGTCATCATTTTTATCATCATATTTTGATAATCACAATATTGAGAATATTCATTTATGGTGTGGGTAAATGGAATTTTCATTGAACGCACATCAATAAATGTTTTTGGACAAGCTATATATTTATGATCTTCCAGTTTAGTAGCACTATTTTAAGCTTTACTTCAGTTTTAATATCTACATGACTTTTTGTTTCTGTTTTGTAACATGAAGCCTGTATAACCTCTCTTCAACCTTATTTCTTCTTCACTTCTCCATTATTTCTATTATTTTCCATAAGCAGTAATTTTCTACTTTTATTTTGTCCCCTTATTTTTTTTAAAATTTAAATTCAATTAGCCAACATATAAGTACATCTTTAGTTTTGATGTAGTGTTCATTGATTCATTAGTTGCATATAGCACCCAGTGCTCATCATATCACATGCCCTCCTTAATGACCATCACCCAGTTGCCCTATCTCCTCGATCCACCTCCCCTCCACCAACCCTCAGTTTTTTTCCCAAAGTCAAAAGTCTCTCATGGTTTGTCTCCCTCTCTGATTTCTTCCCATTCAGTTTTCCCTCCCTTCCTCTATGATCCTCTGTGCTATTTCTTATATTCCATATATGAGTGAAACCATATGATAATTGTCTTTCTCTGATTGACTTATTTCACTTAGCATAATACCCTTGCGTTCCATCCACATTGATGTAAATGGTGGGTATTCATCCTTTCTGATGGCTGAGTAATATTCCATTGTATATATGAACCAAATCTTCTTTATCCATTCTTCTGTTGAAGAACATCTTGGCTCCTTCTACAGTTTGGCTATTGTGGACATTGCTGCTATGAACATTGGGGTGCAGGTGCCCCTTCTTTTCACTACATCTGTATCTTTGGGGTGAATGCCCAGTAGTGCAGTTGCTTGGTCATAGGGTAGCTATATTTTTAACTTCTTTAGGAACCTCCATACTGTTTTCCAGAGTGGCTTTACCAGTTCGCATTCCCACCAACAGTGTAAGAGGGTTCCTCTTTCTCCACATCCTCGCCAACATTTGTTATTTCCTGTCTTGTTCATTTTAGCCATTCTAACTGTTATAATGTGATATCTCATTGTGGTTTTGATTTGTATTTCCCTTGTCCCCTTATTCTTGATTCTCTGTTCTCTAGCCCAAATTTGTATTTAATAAAGTCTAAATAGTAATAGTCCCTCAGTGTGTGGCACCACTCAATTTCACTATAGCCTGCCCACCATTTAACATTTACCCTCTCTCTCATTCTTTGATTAGTTTTAATTTCCTAATAAAGATTTATAAAGCAGTTGTGCTGCAATAAATGTAAATTTACAGCATCAACAAAATTAGTATTTTTCTCCTGTTCTCAGGAAGTTTATAGAATTGCATAAAACCAATATCATTTTTATTCTTAAAAACTCAGATTTGCACACTGAGTGAATTCAAGAAAAATGGTCACAATCCTTAAATTACAATAATCAGATTGGTAATCTGATACAGAATTACCTGCAGGCAACCAAAGTTGGCAGGTGCAGCTCATTGGCACACTCAGTGGAGGAAGCGAGCTGTAGAAACAGGAGTCCTGCTTCTTGAATTCTAGTCTATTTACCTAAGATAACATCTAAGAAGTTCAGGATTTGGACTGCTCCTAGACTGGAGAATGTTTTCAAATACAAATGCTGATGGGAATATAGTCTTGCTTTTTTTCCATTTAGGTTTTCTATATTTTTATTGAGTTTCTTTGTTTGAATCTTTTTATGGGGTTTGCTTGAAAACACCACAGGAAAATTATTTGCTGGCACAGAATTAGATGAGATTACATCTCTGTTTCTAATACATATAATGAGATAAGAGTACCATCACTCTTGTCATGTGGGACAGAGAAAAATGTGAACAAGATATATCTGTAAATAAAGATAACATGATATGTATAAGGAATATGACCCCTCCAGTACAGCAATAGGCTTGTACTCATCCTTAGTCTACCCTCCACCTCCAGCCTCACATTCCCCGCAGATGCATGCAGGGGCATACATGAGTGCACACATTCACAGACACACCTGCCCCAAGCTTAGTATCAATGCCTGTCAGAAAACAGACACTTAATACTTATTTGAATGAATGGATAAGGAAATTAATTTAAAACAGTGCTTGGTTTCAATTAATACAAACCAATCAGTTGGCAGAATGAGCGAAAAACCAACAGGTTGGAATCTGCTTTTTAAATAGATCTAACTCAGAATCAACAGGTCTGGCTGAAAATATTTTATCTACTAGGTATGACTACAGTATAGAGCCATTTCATTTTTCTTTCAAACTCTGATAATTACCTTTCTCTGGTGTCTTTTACATTTTATCATTGACCTTCCTCACTTTGCCATCCCACGCCCACTGCCACTGCCTCACCATCCTATAGTGCCTCCCATTGAATAAAACCTGAAAGTGTACACTGAAAGGTAATAAAATATTGCTTTGTTGATTAAAAATGTACTTAATTTATGCATCAAATAACTATATGTCATTCTGTTGTTATTAACCCTTATTAATTATAGGTTTATTGGAAGTTAAAACAAATAATCATAAATAGGGAGTTTTATTAGAGGAATTTATGCTTACCATAAAAAAAGGCAAGATTAGCAGTAAATACAGGATACACTTTTTCTCCATCATTGAACCCAAAATGAAATATGCTATACAATATAAATCAAACTGCAGAGAAAATGAAATAAATATAAGTAATCAATATTTATGAAATATAGATGGTACTCAATGGTAAATTTTTTAAAACTATACAATAATTTTGCTTTAAGGATTTGATTAATAGTTTTACATATTGCAAATGTTAAGAACATTGGATGGTTGGGTGGTTCAGTCAGTTAAGCATCTGCCTTTGGCTCAGGTCTCAGGTCATGATCTCAGGGTCCTGGGATCCAGCCTCTCAGCGGGTGTCTGCTTCTCCCTCTCCCTTTGCCCCTCCCCCTGCTTGTGCTCTCTCTCTCTCTCTCTCTCTCAAATAAATAAATAAAATCTTAAAAAAAAATCTTAAGAGCGTTATGGCTTAAAGTACTAAAGAGCCTAAATACATGTTAGTCTTACAAACAGGAAAGCTTCTTACATATATTTTTTTAAGTAATAAGAAAACATCTTGCTTTCTTTGCCTTTACCAAAATTGGAATAAAATGATTAAAGTATCAAAATAAAGAGCTTCACAAGAAAATACAAGCACAAATTTTGATAGTGTATTTTCCTATAAAGCTAACCTTTATTTCCTATAAACATGAATCTCATTTTTAATTTTCTGACTCTTCAATAATTTAAGGGGGAAAATTGTTCCTGGGCCAATTTCTTGAGAGTCAACAACCATATGTCATAAAAATTGCCTTATAATTTAATAGAAATTCATCATTTAATTAGGAAATAAGAGATTCCCTAAGTCATCTGTTATTAAAATAAGGTTACAGGAAATGGACAATACCACATAAAGTATTTCTGTTAAATATTTCTGAAGGTAGATACAATTCTGAGCTAATTAAAATGGCCTCTAAAACAATGTCCCTAACTTCTTAATTCTTAGAGACAAACATTGCTGGACTGGCTTACTCACTATAAGGCCCATGAGCAACCTACTCTGACAGTATTTTTATGAGATATAAATTATCATGGTATAGTCATAATGTATTTATTTAACTGAATGTGTAAGAAGTATTTTTCAAGGCAAGGGAGATTTTAAAAATCTGATCAATAGATATTTGCCAGAAAACTATGAACTTAGATTTAACTTTGTTAAGAAAGTTGTCATGATTTTTATTATAGTGCCAATATTAGGGCCAAAGAATTATAAAAGCCATTTCCACATATTATGCTTATTATTTTTATTATCACATGCAATGAGAGCACACCAATTTCTAGAACATAGAATCTATATCATTGCTTGCCCTCACCAATGACTCACCCAGACACAGCTTTTCTTTTTAACTGTAGCAATCTTCCAAATAATGTTTTCTCTTCTATCAGCTATACTGAGTTTTTATTATTAGTTGACCTAAAAAAATATATAACCAAAAAATCAGGAGGCATTGTATTAATTTTAGATATTAAAAAACATGTAACAGAATGAAAACAATGAATCAGAGTTTTTGTAATTTAGTAATTAATGCATTGATATTTTAGTTTTTATTACATTTTACCATGAGAAAATCTAATTTTCCAATACTTACATACACAATTGTCTCCAGACTCAAATCACATTTTCCCTTGGATCATATTGGATGTTGTCTTGAAGAATTTCTTAAATCCAAGGGCCATGACCTGAAATATTGATTGAGGTAATAATTTAATGTTATTTCAATGAGCCAACAAAATTTCCATGGTAAATTGAAATTTTCAAAGAAAATACCACTATTAAAATATTTTTATTAAGCTATTCCAATCTTTAAAAATCTCTTTTGCTTACAATGTACTTGAATTTTTTCACAAATATTTGTTGTTTTCCATTATTTGGAGAAACTTAAATTAATTTCCATTCATCCAAGTAGTAGTTAAGATATTGAAATTTTAAACTACAGTTTAATTTTCCTTTGAATGACTTTCTTTAATAACGTCTTGGAGTGTGTTAATAGTCTTACTTACATATATCCATTCTCAAAGCCAGAAACCATATCTGATTGATCCATGTATCTTTGGTGACTGGCAGTTAACTTACATTGGCTGTATAAATGAATGAGTAAATGAATGAAAAAAATAAACCAATAAACTACTTTAGGATTTTAAACTTACAATCAAGAAAAAATAATCATAACTATTAAATAACTGCCCTTTCTTCTATTTGAAGGCCTTGATAGTGTTGGAATCTACTATACTGACAATGAAAATTGGAAAAGAAAAGTTCTTATACCAGCAATTTTACTTTCTTAAAAAAATAATGTCCTGAAAAATATTTATTTTTCAAGTTTTGTGTTGTTTGGGTATTGAATAAACAATAGTTTACTGACTTTGGAAGTCTTTATAAAGGTTAAGCCAAACTTAAAGAATTGGTAGTTCACATTTCTCTGTATAAATACACAAATAAGAATGTAAAGAAATATTATTCTATTTGGAAATCAGATAGGTTTTTTTTATGAAACAATGCTTTGATGATTTACACATGAGTCAGGATTAAACTAATATGTACCTGGGCTCAAAAACTGAAGGGAAAAGTCCTTCAAAAACATGTCTGGAGTTTTACCAAACCCAGTATATTTGAAAAACATTTCACCCAACACTAGCAGTTATTTGTGTTGCTTATCTAATCAGAGGCTTTAAAATCAGAGTTCCAAAAAGTATGTTAGTGAAATACCTTTTAGTGTTTACTAGATTATCCTGGCAATTGTAATTTAAGAAGACTTTATCCATTTCACGAAATATTTACCAATGCAAATAATTCCACTTTTATAACTTCCTTCTTTACCCTATTCCTTAGTGATCTGGAAAATGTGTTACTAGTAACAAGGTTGTTTTTTGCACTGTGTAAACTTGTAGCACTCCCAATCAAGGGGCGGGTCTATAGCCCTGGTTTTATCAAGGATGCAGCAGCAAGTTTGGGTGGCAGTTTTTCAAACACGTGGTGGACACCTGTACTCTCCATGAAGTCTAACAATGACCATTTCAGGTGGTGATCTAAATCATTTGAGTCATCCACCTGGAAAAGGACCTATCAAATTTTCTTGCCAGCAGACATGGTGGTGAGTGGTAGGTAGGTAGGAATCGCCACTTTCACTGAATGTTCTCAAGTTCAATAATGGAGGGCTCATGACTGGGCATGTAGATAACACCACTGAAGACATATCTGAAGGTCACTTTAGACTGATTTGGTAGATGTAATGGCATGATTGTTATCAGAGGTAGGTTTAAGTGTATTCCTCAGTTTAGCTCAGTGGTTCTTTGCATGCTCCCTCTAATATGTTCATTCAGCAAGTGGTTCTCTTTTCTATATTTAGCTTATTCCAAATTTATCTTTGCTAAAATACATTTGATATTAACTGACTAAAGCTGTTAGGCAAATCATTTGTAAATCTGTTTCAGATCTTGTTAAATTATTTACTCACAAATGAGTTGCATGGTGCCTTGTGAGATACAGTAGTTTCCATAATTCTAAAGAGAGATAAAATATGCAATGAAGGGTCAAGTTAAATGACTAAATCTGCCAGTGGGTTTTTCCGAGTGTCAGGTTTGTTTAGTAGGAAAAGGGCTTATTCAAAACTAAGAAAGCTCTAATTTAAACTCTTAAGTGAGTTTGTAACCATAATGGTACTAAGAGTAGTTACTGACATTTTCTCTAACTGCTAGCCTCATGGATCCTATCAGTACTGTTTTATTTTCACTTTTCAAAATTATACAAAGTGGAAGATTTGGTTCTACTACTAGAAACAAAATAACTTTCTTTACTGTACACATGGAATAAAAAAAGTAGTCTATTTCTAAATAGTCTTCATTCTTCTTGTCCAAAGAATCACCAACATAAAGTAAAAATGATTTATTTCATCACAGAAAGAACTTTGAAGATGAAGAATGTTGTAAAACCTCAAAGAACTTTGGAAATATAGCTTCCTAGTCACTTAGGTCTTTATGTAATCTCATTCTGGTTTCATTTCCTAAAATTACCATTGATCTCTACCACAAAACACTTTTCATAGAGCTACATTTCCAAGTCCAAAACTTTTAACCAATCTTTTTTGCTTTCTTCAGTGTAAAAGCATGATTTATTCTGCATTAAAAAATTATAAATCAGTGTGACCTAATCAATACTAAGTAATCAGAACACAAAAACCTAAATCCTGTAAATGCATAGCAGTGCCTTGCAAACTTGCTTCTTATTTTCTCAAAATTTTATTATTCCTATACACACTTTTCATTAATGTGTTTTTTTTATAACAGTTCTTAGTTTTAGTTGAGTTACCGAACCCTGATACTAAAAGTATATGTTTGTGCCAAGATTAAGAAAAAAAAAAAAAAACTTTTAACTTCTACTCCTCCATTTCCAAAATATCTTGGATTTCTATGGGCCCTGTGCCATATTCTCTTCTCCCCTTACTTATCCAGTCACTATAAAGTGGGCTAACAGAAGCATTTCCTATACATACCTCATTTACCATGAAGTGTCCTGAACCTTTGTATGAGCAAAGTGAGGATTTTCTATTTAGTACATGCCTTTCCCTTGTGGCAAATTCAACATGCTACATTTCTTTTTTTGTAATTTGAATTCAGTTAATTAACATATAATGTATCACCCAGTGACCCCATCCCCTCCAACAACCCTCAGTTTGTTTCCTATGATTAAGAGTCTCTTATGGTTTGTCTCACGCTACATTTCTCAATCAAAATAGGGAATAAGCACTCTTCTCCAAACCCAGTTTTTCACACTTGGATGGCAAATGGAAACTTCTTTCTGTCATTCTACACTGTATAGAAGAGATTGTGCCACTGAGTAAAAATGTCAAAGTACAAGATCCCAGTTACCTCTTATTTTCTCCTCACTGCTTTTTTTTTTTTTTGTCAAAATCCTAAGTCTTTCTGCTAGAATTATTCTTGCAAATTACTGTCTTTACTTCCAATAAAATCTTTAAGAAATACATGCCAGGTGGGGTGCCTAGGTGGTTCAGTCAGTTGGGTGTCTGCTTTCGGCTCAGGTTATGAGCCCAGGGTCCTGGGATTCAGCCCCACATTGGGCTTTCTGCCCAGCGGGGAGTCTGCTTCTCCCTCTCCCTCTGCCCCTCACCTCCCCACTCGTTCTCTCTCAAATAAATAAATAAAATCTTAAAAAAAAAATACATACCACGTTAAGGTTTTAACTCCCTACCCCCATACTGGCCTGGAATGTCCTTAACACTTTTAATACATGAAGCAGTAAAAAAAATTAAAATATAAGGACCTCTTCTTCCTAAATATCTGTTACTGATGTAAGAAACTCAAATATAAGTTTTTTTTTTTTTAAATAACATCATTTGGGGCTTCCATAATTTTTTAGACTATTGAATGAACAGGTACCAAATCTCTGATGTGGCATAAACCAGTGTTCCTCAAATTGTGGGTTCATGGATCACTGGCTTTGGAATCACTACTAGAACTTGCTGAACATGTTAGAATGTCTAGGCTCCACCACAGACCCTCTGAATCATAATCTTTGGGAGAAGAACTGGGAATCTGACTTCAAGGAAATTCTTGGCCTATTAAATTTTGTGAAACACGACATAAATACAACAGCCTAACTGGACCATGCTGAAACCTGGACACACTTCCTCTGTCTCTAGGTACTGCCAGACTATTTTATTTTATACTTTTAAAGATTTATTTATTTATTTGAGAGAGGTGGGGAGGGGCAGAGGGAGAGGGAGAGAGAGAATCCTTAAGCAGACTCCCGGCTGAGTGCAGAGCCTGAACACAGGGCTAGATCCCAGGACCTGGATGTGAAATCAGGAGCTGGTTGCTTAACTGACTGAGCCAGCCAGTGCCCCTTGCCAGACTATTTTAAAAATAACAACTAAGGGGGAACCTGGCTGGCTCAGTCGGAGGAGCCTGTGATTCTTGATCTCGAAGTCATAAGTTCAAGCCCCATGGGGCGCCTGGGTGGCTCAGTCTGTTAAGCGGCTGCCTTCAGCCTGGGTCCTGATCCCTCTGATCGAGCCCCGCATCGGGCTCCCTGCTCAGCAGAGAGCCTGTTTCTCCCTCTCCCTCTGCCTGCCTCTCTGCCTACTTGTGCTCTCTCTCTATCTCTCTGTCAAATAAATAAAATCTTTAAAAAAAAAAAAAAAAGTAAGTTCAAGCCCCACGTTGGAAGTGGAGCTTACTTCAAAAAAAATAGATAAATAATAATGACTATCAAGTATAAATCAAGCAAAATATTCTACCGTGTTCCCAGGCACAAGAAATGTCTCAGAACTCCCAGAGCAAATTATCCAAATATCTATTTTAAAATATATCCTGTAATGTTGTAATTATTTTTGTGTGTGTCTGTTATGCCACTAGATTGTGAGCACAATAAAAATAGGACATGCATGGTATCTACCTCTATAACTCCAAACCCTAGGCATAAAGAGAATAAATAGAGGGCACCTGGGTGGCTCAGATGGTTAAGCGTCTGCCTTCGGCTCAGGTCATGATCTCAGGGTCCTGGGATCGAGTCCCGCATCGGGCTCCCTGCTCAGCGGGGAGCCTGCCTCTCTCTCTGTCTCTCTGTCTCTTATGAATAAATAAATAAAATCTTTAAAAAAAAAAAGAGAATAAATAGAAGGTGTGTTTTGAATGGATGACTTACAAAATGAATTTAATTAAGT